GGGCAGGCAGGCGGTACCGCGGCTTATCGCGCTCTGCGCGTCGTTCCCCTGCCCCTCGGCGCGGCTGCTGGTCCGATGCCGTTTCTCACAGGCAACAATTTTTGCCTTCCTTAGCTGCTGCCGTTTGTCCCGAATCCCCTGCAGGTTTCTTGCTGTCTGCTACCGAAGTGCTTGTTAACAGAGTGCAACGCGCTCGCGGTGGGTTTGGTGTAGGGGGGGGTGACAGACGCTTCCGGCTTTGCAGCCCCTCTGCGTGTCTGTAGAGCCAGAGGGACCGAAATTGTGCCAGAGTGCAACCTGCGGGTGAAGAGTTATCCTTTCCAATTGAATCCTTGTAGATGCCCTTTGGCCTCCTCAGAGTATTTAGCGTTGTGATCCCTTTCCTGTACGTTGGAACTCAGATCAGTAAGAACTTTGCAGCCCTACTGGAAGAACATGATATCTTTGTCCCAGAAGATGACGACGACGACGATTAAAGGGTATGTTGTTAACGTCACCAGCAATCTAATTATTTGTAAGTATAATTTGTCTGAATATTTCTTGCTGGCTGGGGGCAGGGAGCAGAATGACAGACTAGGAAATACAGACAACAGCTTTGAAAGATCACATGCAGCTGTATTACCCCTGGCTACAAACTTTATTCTCTTCTACTGGAGTAGGCCAGACTGGTGTCTGAATGTGAAATCTCTACAGCATAAATTCTTTTGTGATCTATATAATAAATTGATACTGTTTTAGATCTTGTAAATAATAAACTGTAAATAAACTGTCTGTAGTCAGTGAAGGATTATAGGTCTATACTGCAAAAATAAAAGAGGGACTTCAGTATCAAATTGTTATTACATGTTATTACCTTTTTAAAAGTCTTCTGCTAACTAGTATTTTAAATAATAGTCACTCATTGTATGAAATTATGATGTAGAAGTCAACAATTTGAGAGAATTCCAGAATCCATCAGGTCAAAGTGTCAGGTAGGTGTTGTTACGACACTGATCTCAGGAATAGTTGGATCTTTTGGAGTCATCAGATGAAGGAAAAGCAGAATTGTATCTACACTACGCCACACTTCACTCTATTTTATGTTATTCCGTTTGCCTTGCCCTTCTTGTGTAAACATTTTAGGTTTGAGTGCATCTGATTCTTGCTCAGCTCCAGGAATCAGTCTGGTGGATGTGTTCCATTTGATAAAGGAATTTTCCAGAACATGCTGTGTAGCTAAAGACAATGAATTAAAAAGTTGGAATGACTGCAACAGCCTGTTAGAAGTTTGTTTTATATAAACTCTCACCTTGTGTGGTTTTTGTGGAGGGACATGGTTTGGAGCTTGGTATGCTATATCCGAAGAATAATACAAGGTTGATCCTTTCGCAAGTAATGCTTTTTTTTTCATCTCTTTGCAGAATTGGAATGGAAGAACAAAAATGAGGAAGCCATTGGCAAAGAAATGGTTCTGACATCTGTCACCTGTTTTGCCCTTCCTAAGGAGGAGGACAGGGGGCGCTGCATCCCCTTTGCCAGTAAATGTCCTATGCATGTCTGTATGAGAGAAAATTGTAGCTCAGGGTGGAAGGGAATAATTGATAGGACTACATCCTTGCATACACTGTCTTCACCTCACAGAAGACTGCTTGGGATTCCTTTCATTAGCTAAACGGAAAACATAATTAAAGAACAACAGACTGAGAAGTATGGCTTTGTTTTCTTGTTTTTATAGATCATGTGCCTATGACAGCATTTCTGTCTTAACCTTTCTACCTCCATATGTCTTCAAGTGAGGAGGTTCTGATCCTATTCATGTGTGGTTTTGTGTCCTTTCCATGAGATTCAGTAGTGTGCCATCTAATGTACGCAACAGGAATCCTAGAGGAACAAGCTAGTCACAGCAAACTCCCATAAAAAGCATGGAGCAGACGTTGACACTGGCACTACAGTTCAGATAACGTTGCTCTGTAATCTGCCGCTATGCAGTTATGTCTGACAGAGACCACATAATGAATTTCATCTCACTGAGGATAAAACAGTATGACCTTGCAGAGTCAAAGTTCTGAGTAGGTTTGCTAATGGAAAGGTTAAGTGGCAAACTAACTCAGCTGATGTGTTCTACAGCACGTTATCTAGGAATAAGGAGATTCACTCTGAATGCACTGGCCACAGATATCTTGTAATTGCCATTCTGTACTTCTGTATGAGCCCTAATATATTTATTTTCTTAGCTGTGTGTAAATTGCAACCTTTTTTTTTTTTTCCTCAAAAGTGTTCATTAGGGCAGTTAAAGCTATCAGTAATAAACTTCAAGATCTTTCTTTACTGCTAGTGTGTGCCTAGGATATCTTGTTACTTCAGACCAGTGGAATACCAGTTGTTTTCGCCAATAACTGGAAATATTAAGGTCAAATTTGTGGGTTTTTTTTTTTTTAAGCCAGTATTGCCACAAGAAGAAGCAATTACGTCTTTCTCTGTTTCTGGACACTAGGTCTGGCCTGTTGACTGCCACCTTTCTCTTCAGGATTCAAGTAACTGTTAAAAAGCAAAGTTTCTTTTAATGTGAGCTCCCCTAGTCTGGCTGGTTGTGCAGTTATACAGATGTCCGCACAAGGGAGAGGGCAGTGTCAGAGCAGAGAGGCTGACCCCTGGCTCTTCTAAAGAGCAAACATTAGCATCCACTGCTTCACAATCACACCCTGAGTTTACATAATGGTACACCTATTTTTTGTAATTGGGAAGCTTTTGTTTTAAATGAAGTTCTCCAATTTACACACTGCAGCAGATTATTCTTGTAAAATCTATGATCTTTGCCTTTTTATGGCTGTGATTACCTCCTGTTTATGAACAGGTATGAAATGCAACATGTGTTCCACCAGGGTGTACCTCATCCCTTTGTATCTGAAAAGCAAGTAGGAAGTTCTTGGCTTATTGGTACCCAAGACTAATCCTTCCTTATGAAGGATCTATCAGCATCTCTTAAATTGAGCAATTCCTATTACTTTTCCTCAAGAAAGATCTCTCAACAGAAATCTCATCTTTTATCACAATTAGTTTACTTTTGATTTTAAGGAGGTTAGGGTGAAAAATCTCTCCCCCTTTTTTTAAAATATGTCTTAAAATTAAATGTAAAATTTAAGTTAGTCTTACTTACCTCCTAACAGTGAAAAGTTATTTCTTAGCTTTGTCAGCATGCTCATAATGTAGACTATGTTTTTAAGTAGATTCCATGCTGTGGCATATCTACACATATATTTATGGCACTGCCCTCAGCTTCATTTTGTAAACACACAGAATTGCTCTGCATCTTTAATTACATATAATTTGCTCTGATTTCAAGTGACAAACAAGTTTTGAGCCAGTATGCATACACATTGGCACAACATATAGTTCAAACAGTCATATTTGCTCACTATTTGACAATGATTTTGATGTTTGCTCTGTAACTCTCTAGTTTAGGTAGGACAGACCCATGTACAGCTTTGCAGAAAAGGGAATCTACAAATTGAGTAACCCTAACATTGGTAGTTGAAGGCAGTTGACAAGTTCAAGTCACTCAGTATGAGAGTTGCTCCCTGCTTCCCCAAGGCCTTCTGAGAAGTGGTTGCTCAGATCATCTGCTCTTGGGAACCAGCCTATCTGTGCTCCTTGTTGTTGCTTGATCTTGTAGTCTGTCTTTTTTCAGCCCTGTCCTAAAAAAAACCATCCCATCCTAAAGCTCCTAGGTACACATACACACACAGAGCCCTGAGGAATGCTGCCCGACAGTTCTCATATGGGGAAGACGACCCAGAATGGTATTTAGGCAAGGATAAGAAGTTTGAGAGCTCTACAAGGATTCAGTGCTGATTGCATGCAAGAGTGCTCCAGCACTTAGTTACCTGCTGAAAACATGTTTTCACTGGCGAAGGAGCAAATTCTGCTTACTCTTCTCAACAATTCAACTAGTAATTCCTGATTTAATTAGGGAGGTGATAGTAGGACACGATGTTCTGCTAGGCATTCCGATGCTCTTAGGAGTCTCCCTATTCTAGATAATGATATAAAAATCCATTTTTCCAGATAATTTCATTTTGCAGCAGGGAAACAGAGACTCTTTTGCTCTTTTATTGTACAAAAGGCTTTATTGGCCTACTGGATCTTACACCATTCTCTGGTAGGAGGTAAACAGAGAATAGTGTCAAAGTAAAAACATGGTCAACAAAGTCATAGCATGAAATTGCAAAACACCGCATGAATACATATGGGCCTCAAGCATAAAAATATTTCTATGACTACATTGGCTACTCTGCCTACTCATTTCTGCTCTTTCTTCCTGGGAGCTAACACCTACACGTAGGCCTGCAGGCTTAGCAGAAAACTCCATAACCAGGTTATAGTCTGGTTATTCTCTGGTTCTCCAGGGCAAGTCACGGACAAATTCCACCCACCAAAAATAATCACTGGCAAAAAAACAGGAAGTCACAGCTGTTAATGCAGTTCATAATGTGATTCCAGTGTGTGCGTGCAAATCATTTTGTCATTATATTAACAGTGGTATACACTCTTTCTGAACAGGTTTCCTTTCTACTATATAGATCTTTATTTGTAATACAAGGCAGCAAGACACATTCAGTTTTGTCTCAAGGATCGTGGCCTGCATAGAATTTGGACAGAAAGTCTTTAGGTCGTGGGGTTTCAGTCTCATGGAAATACCTCATGACATGAGTCCTCTGCTTCCATACATTAATAGTTTCTTGAAGTTCCATTTTTCCCTATGCACAAACAAAAGAATTTCTTAGACTAGTTCTTAATTAGAGCTCAGTTATAACTATACAGCATTGTAAAAGTTATTCGAATACACGTTGGCTTTTTTCTTCCACATTTAGTCTTAAGAAACGCTTTAAAAATGTAAATAGCTGCAGCTGTACATTATTCTGTACTCTGAAAGATGCTTGCATCACTTATACACTGTTCTTGTCTTAGGATTTCAATGCTGTTTGTCCTACATTAGCAGATTAGTTGTCTCTACAGTACAGCTTCCCAGCCCTGTGGGATGAGCAAGGGGCCCTGCTCTCTTCCTAGAACCTGGCTTGTTTCTCTCGCCACTGGTACCCCATAAGCATGTCTATATAACATTCCTAACTTTCCCCGCATCTCCATTTAAAAGCACTTTTGGAATACCAGTGAGTTAGCTGTAAAGCTAAGTAAAATTACTGGTAAGTGCTCTGCACCGACATCACTACCACAGAGATATTAAACCAGATTCTTCAGAACTCAAGTTATGAAGTTATCAAGTTATCAAGTTATCGTACTGGTTTCGGGGGATGGCAGCACAGGACAGAATGAAAGTGTCTGGCGGTATCACCTAATGTAATACATAAAACTCTGTTTCCAGACTTCCTTCTCATCATGTAAAGACGGATTAGCAGTCCTGAAATGTATGAAGCACTACAAATGAGCATGGCAAAGCTTGGCTGGAAGCTTTCTAATCCATTACAATTGCAGAGTTCAGCTACTGCTGCTCAGACAACTTTTGAAGCGTTACCCTGCTCTTGGTGTTCGCATCATTCCTTTGACCCAGACAGGTGTCAGGCTTAAGACCTACTCAGAAATCTTACTGGGTCAGGGTGCTTTGCCACCTCCAAATCAGTCTCCCATCAAGCATTGCTTTTCTAATGTATATTTCAGAACTGGTGAGGAGAAACACACCACAATCTAAGGAAGTGCAGCAGGGAGCAGAAAGATCATTTCTGATGGTGAACTAACTGGCAGCATCCTTTGCCCCTCTCTTTCAATTGCCACTGCTTTCTAAAAGCAAATACAGTAGTGTTTAGACCACTGTTTTACCTGTCGTATACTTCTTTTAAGCATCTGCAAACTGGAAGAGCCACTACACTGAATGAAAGAAATCCATATTCTGGCCACTCTGGCATATACCAGTGGAGGGAAGACCCTATTCCTCTCCATGCTATAGCAGCTTGTTACTTTATCAACAAGCTTGTGTCAGGAGAGGTAAGTCTTTTGCAATCCAGATTGGTTCAGCTCCTCCACAGAGCAAGCTGAGATAAAACTGATCAGTAAACAGTCCCTATTCTCCATCATATTCACTACCATTCACCCACTTTCACATAGTGCAGCTTCAACAAGACAGGAATAATTTCTTTGTACCTTAATAACCAGCATGTCAATCACCCGAGGGTCTGTAACGTGAGCATTCTTCAGGAACATCTCCCGCACCTTATTACGTCCCTGTTTCACTGTGATGTCCAGCTGGTATAAGTGTACTAGGAAAAGCAGAGAACACCCACAGAGGTCATCTATGTTGCTCTTAAGTTTTTTCTATTGAAAGTGTTCAGTTCCAACCCTACGACATGCTACAGCCCCTTGTTCTTGCGGTGTCTGCCAGCTTAGTTAACGTTACTAACGTAAAACAAATACATAACACGGTCATAATACAAAACCAGTGCAGTTTTAAGAAGGCAGAGAGCGATGCCACGCGTCCCTATTAGGGAAAATTAAGTGCGGACTTATCCTCTGCTTAGCCAGACAAAATAAAACCGATTTCAACCAGTCAACAAGCGTGTGGAGGGCCGACCTCCCTCAGCCTCCAGGCGAGGAGAAAGCCGGGCAGCCAGGGCAAGGCAAAGCCGGCAGCGTGAAGCCGGGGGCTGCGATGGGACATCCCCCCTATCCATCCATCCATACACACACACGGGGAGAGGCGAGTAACCGGCACCCCGGACTGGCCCTTTAAGAGCCCAACAGCGGCGGGGCGACCGTTACGACCTTGAGCTCGCGCTCCCGCCCGCTCATGCGCGGTCGGCTCTACGCCCCCTCCTTCCCCTCACCGGTGTTGGGCACCTCGCGGTACCAGGCTCGATACAGCTCCCTCACGCGTCGCTTCGCCTCGCCCAAGTCCCGGCTAAAGATCGGCTTCACCGCCGTGACTCCTTTG